ACACAAACACCAAACACGCGCCCCCCGACACCTAAACCCTCCACAAGCGCCCTACAAAACACCCCACAAACACAACAACAGACAGACAAAACCAAACAAGTCCCCCCGGTAATCTTGCGAAAGCAAGAACGGTGGACACAAGTACAAAAAATACTCACGACACTTAACATTAACTATACAAAAGCCAAATTGACTAAAGACGGTATAGCCATATACCCAAACACACCTAATGACCACAGACTATTGACAAAGACACTGACAGACAAAGGCGAGGAGTACCACACCTTCACCCTCAGCGAAGAAAAAACGCTGAGGGTGGTGATACGCGGAATACCTGCGGGTGTTTCGCCAAGTGAGGTCCAACTCGACCTCGCAAGACAAGGGTTCCCCGGCGCAATAGTGCACCGCATGGCGAGCCGTCAAAATAAACAGGAAATGCCCCTGGTCCTAGTTCAGGCCCCACAGGACCAGGAGGACATCCTGAAGGTAACCCGCTGCTGCTCGCTCGTGGTTCGAGTAGAGCTGCAGCGAAAGCAGCGGGTTGCCACACAGTGCCACCGGTGCCAGCGGTTCGGCCACGGCCAGACCCGGTGCACAGCTGAGCCAAAGTGCGTAAAATGTGGCGAAAACCACAGCACGCACGTATGCAAAAAGGCCAAAGACACGCCCGCCAGGTGTGCAAATTGCGCCGGGCCACACCCCGCCAGCTATATGGGGTGCCCTCAGTACCCCAAAGCTAAAAACACAAAAACACAAAACACAGACACACACACGACACAAAACACTACACAAACACACAGACAGCCCCTCCTACCCACCCCAAACACAACCCCAGGACGCACATACGCTGACATGACCAGAAAAACACAAAACACACAAAAACAAAAACACAACACCTCACCACACGCACACACAGACACGACACCCTCCCAACCGGGCGCGGCGGCCCTGANATCTCCTGGAATCGACAAACACGATACCTGGGCGTGACGATGGACCAGCGTCTCACGTGGAAACCGCACATCGTGGAGACGGTGGCGCGAGCGAAGACCACCAGGGCTAGGCTCTATCCCTTACTCAAAGGTGGAAACACCCTCAGTTTAAGGAATAAGCGAACGCTTATCAAGGTGGTACTTCAACCGCAGCTAACCTACGCCTCCACGGCGTGGGGTCACGCGGCAAAAAGCCACTTAAAGTCATTACAGGCTGTGGAAAACATAGCCCTCCGCACGGCCACCGACGCGCCCTGGTACGTAAGAAACACTGACATATTACGAGACTTACAATACACAAACGCTACACAGACAATAAGACAAAACGCGGAGAAACGATTTGACGTAGCCGCTAGACATGACAATCCCCTCCTCAGGCAAGCCGTTGACTACGTACCCGACGTGACCGACAAACACAAAAGACCTAGACACCAACTTTTTGACCCTGGGTGACCACCCCAACGCCCCCCCCCCTGCCCGCTAACCTTTTCTGTTTCAGAGACAGCCAGGATCAAGAAACGAAAACAACGACACACACACACACATACACACCCCCCATACCCTCCTTACCTCTCCCTTCCTGCGCTAGCCGAAGGGCCACCTTAGCAAAGCGCATCCCAGGCTGCATAGCCGCACTACCCTACCCAACCAAAACATGACACCACCCCCGGGGTTTACACAGACGAGCCGGCGAAGCAAGAAGAGCGCCAGAAGAAAGGGCCCTAGCCGGCGGGGCCCAGCCAGGACAAAAGGAGGTCCCACAAAGCGCCTACACCGGCCGCATTTGCGGTCGGGGTAGACGACGGATGGGGCCCACCTACGAAGGCTGTCCAGGCCTACACGAGATGAGGCAGGATAAAGAGGGATAATCCTCCTCGATCCCAAATCATTGAGGCCAATTTCTAGCCATGGAATAATGTTGCGAGTCTCCATGGATTAAAGTAAATATTGTGAACACTATATTTTGTGGTCTGTACCATAGTAAATTTAGTATATTTAGTTTTCTATGGTCTGTACGCTGCACCAATCTGCACGCAGCAGGCAGCTACTTTTTGTCGCTATCGTGGCTGAAGTCGCGGAACATTTTTTGTCATAAAATTCTCGTTTGTTTTTAAATAGTGATGTTTGTGTTTATTAATATTTGTATTATTCAATAATATTTATTAAAAAGTACAGTATGGAATAATTATACCCTTGAAGATGCATAAATTAATATAATGTATAATGTTTTGTTTTGTTGCAAAAAATTGACAGTCAAGGGGTCGACGCCGAGTATTATTTGATTGTAAAAAGTTATATTATTACGGTTTTTATTTAAATGGTGGAACTTGCGTTAGTTTTAGTGATTTTGAACTGTAAATGTGATAGGAAATGTCCGAAAACACTGATGAGTTGCGGGTAATTACATTTAGTATTTGAAGTTGCCACAAAAATAAGAAAGGTGGATATAAGAACCATGTAGATTGTTATTTGTTTTTGATCTTATTCAACAATAGAACAATTATTTTAAAACTCGTATTGATACAATAACTTTTCAGCACATATGTAATATTAAAAACTTTTACTTTAATATTTAAAAGCTAAAAGTACAAACTGTTTTGACATATTCTTTCATGTGGAGAAAGCACTACTTCCTTTATTTTTAACTTATTAATTATTAATATTAAAGATTTTAAAGACAAACTGACCAACTGAATGTTTTTCAATTGATTACTTTTCTATTTACAGAATATGCTTATAACTTTTCGAGTTTCGGAGCTGCAGATGTTATTGGGTTTTGCTGGAAGAAATAAGTCAGGAAGAAAAAACGAACTTCAACAAAGAGCTCTTGAGCTCTTGAGAGTTAGGTCTCATCCCATTCATCAAAAGATTAGAGATCTTTATAAAACCATTCAGTAAGTCGATTTCAATAGCATTATTGTTTTCAGTAGGTATGAAACTTAAACAAGGTACCTACATAATAGACTTTTATCTAGGATCTCTATAATGACAGCTTTTTCACATTTAATTTATTATCAAAATAAGGCACTTTTTTGTACTAGTGTAAATACAACTTTTTAGGATTAGTGTAAAATATCCCAATTATAGTGTGTCTAGTAATCCATCATATACATCAGAAATTTTTAACTAGAACACTACCATTTACATAATTTTAAAATATACAGTAATCCCTCGTTATATGCGGTCTCACCAACCGATTTCGTGGAACTTGTTAGAAGGCGTTTACACGGGTCGCATCCTCTCCATCATCGTCAGTAGCCCGTCGAAGCGTGTTGTTGTGTCGGAAGTCCAAAATGCTGTCGGTACATTTACATATTAAATCGTGGAATCTGTTTTAAAGTTGCGGAATGTCTGGATGCGGTAGTAAAGAGTTTTTTAAAAGAAAAAGATGTGTAATGACATTAGATAAAAAGATACAACTGTTGGACTGTTTAGCTGCAGGTGAATTTTAAGAAATAAATCAACTATGAGAACGATTCGTTCGTCCATTTTGCGTGGAACTAGTTCAAGTTGCAAGGTTACCTGTTTTTCGCGGCCCCAAACCTTGGAAAAAAATGAAAAAAGCATTGTATTTTTGTATCGAAGATCAAACAAAAAAGAGAATTCCAGTGAGTACCCAAATAAATCAAGAAAAGGATATTCGACTTTATAAAAGTCTGATAATGAATCTTCAAGTTTCCAGGCGAGTAAAGGATGGTTTGAGAGATTTAAAAAACGATTTTCTTTGCATAATGTTAAAATCGTTGGAGAATCAGCCTCAGTGGATCACGCGGCTGCTAGTCAATATCCAACTAAACTTAAAGAATTTATAGAAAATGAAGGATACTTATAAGCCAGAACAAGTATATAATGCTGACAAGACAGGTATTTTTTGGAAGAGAATGCCTGCTCGCACCTTCACATTGAAAAATGAAAAATGTGCACCGAGGTTTAAGGCAACTAAGGACCGATTAACTCTCTTGTTTTGTTGTAACGCTTCAGGTGATTTTATGGTGAAGCTAATGTTTGTTTACAAATCATTAAACCCACTTAAAAAATAAAAATAAAGACTGTCTGTCAGTGTTTTGGAGAGCAAAGCCTAAAGCTTGTTTTACGATGACGCTATTTACAGACTGGTTTACTAATTGTTTTGTGCCTAGTGTTAAACAGTATCTGGCCTGAAAGTTACTATGATTTAATGTACTTCTGCTTATTGACAATGCGCGCGAACATCCGGAGACCTTAAATTTTATCAACTCGAATATGAAAATACAATTTTTACCTTCCAACACAACTTCGCTTCTGCAACCATTAGATCGGGGAATAATAGTCGCGTTTAAATGGTATTACTCGAGGCGCACTTTCAGTCGCATCTTACAATGCATGCATGGAAGCAAGCAGATCCTTCGTTGACTTACCGAAAATTGGAAACAGTTTAATATTGTTCATTGCATAACCATTATTAAAGATGCAGTTAGTGACTTAAGACCATCAAATATAAACGCATGCTGGAAAAACCTTTGGCCGGAAGTTGTTAACGATAAATTAGCATTGCCGGACAAAGAAATCGAAGTTACCAACATTTTACAAGTTATGCATCAAATACATGGAGAAGGTTTTGAGGATCTCCAGGAAACTGATGTTGAAGAAGTTTTAGCCGCTAATTAAAATCAACTTACAGAAGAGGAACTCGTTGAAATTTGGGAAAGCAAAAATGAATAAAACGACGAAGATGACACCTCTCAAGAATTAATAATTGGAAAATCAACTACGTCGTTAACTTTACATAAAATAAATAAAATTTTGTTATCTGCTCATCAACTTCAGGATTTGGTTTTGAACTTGGATCCTTCACTGGAACGAAGCATGAAGTTCAATAATGGTCTAGAGCAGGGGTCGGCAAGTAATTTTAGGGGGAGTCCAGATACTTTTGAAAATTTTTAACAAGGTCCACAAAAAAAACTAATATTCCTTAATAAATTTTTATTTTCATTTGCAATCACAAAATAATATGAAATACAGTAGATGGGCATTTGTATTCAAAAATCAATGGGAGAAATTACATTTGCGGTCTTGACTCAGTTTTTTTTACTAACCTGCTAACCAAAAAATAATAAGGGTAGCACTCAAACGTATTGTTATCTATAGAAAAATATATTTTTTAAATAATTTGAGTAATTATACTTTCAAAAAATTTTTGCCGGTCCAGTTTTATTATTATTATTATTACCTTCCGCCAGTTGCCAACCGCTGGTCTAGAGGGTTTACTACAACCGTATAAAGGACAGAAAGAAATTAAGAAAAAAATGAAAATTGTTTTATTACATACATATGTATTTTTTATGTATGTCTTTATGACTTACCTAATATAGAGGGTGTCCGCAAATTTTACCGACAACATTTGACTGCACATTCACGACGATAAATAAAGACGATCTACGGAAAAAAAGTTAAACAAAAATTTTTGGTTTTTGAGTTACAAGCCTTCAGAGTTGTCAAAATAAAACTAACTTAATTAATAACTTCATAACCCTTTTACCGATCGCGTTAAAATTTGGTACATTTATTTGGACCATTATTGCATATTATTTCTTAAAGCTTTAGTCAAATCAATATACTGGGTGATAGTTTTCTCGGGTTACCTCTCCCTTTTAACGGTCAAAACTTTTACAGTGGTTGTATTTTTTTAAAGGTCGTTTTATTTAAAAAAAATATTTTCTCTTGAGAAAATCGCCTACAGAAAGCCATTCTTGAGAAAATTGGCATTATTTGCATGTGTGTACGTTTCGGTAAACCTTTAAATTCTTAGCAACTGAATTAAAACGTTATTTTTTATACACATTCAAATACAACAGCTGTCAAATAACACAATGACACAATAATGATGACTCCTTTAAAACAACACAATTTTTGTCTAATTTCCAGGACCTACTATTGCTGTGTTAGCTTCTTTTATTTCCTGCCGACTACAGATTATTTTCGTTGTTTTTGCTGATTGTTCTAAAACGGCTACTCCAATAAAGAAATGCGATATAACATTTTCTATTTAAAATTTGAAGGTTTGTCAAATTATGTTAAAAAAATATGGTTTTTCCATTTAAAAAAATACCGTTTTAGTAGTTACTGCAGAAATCTGGCAACACCGTAAAGAATTATTTGTAAATTTTTCTTAATCAAGTTATTTCTTACAACTTTGCATTTGGAAATACTAGTCTATCACTTCAAATAAAAGAGTTGGCCTGCCAGGTTTTAAAAAAATAGCACTGTACGTAAGGCAGTTACAAATTAATGTTAAAATGTGATTGTTTAATATTCATACCTTATCTATTTTAAACCTTATAACTTTTTGTTCTAGACAAAGTGGGGCATTAACTGGTGTCCCTCCCCCAAGTTCTTCTCCAGGAAATAAAGACCTGTCTTCTACAGGCCAAGTTAACAACATGCCACAAAATCAAGGAGTCCCTCGCACTACTGCTGCTGTGCACCCATACAATGTCGATACAAGACAAATGGCTGTAAGTTAAAAGTATATTTTGTACTCGATTTATATATATTTTTTATCTAACAACGAATAATTCCTTCTTTTTGTATTTTGTGTTCTGGCAAGTGTCTTTAATTATGGAAAGAAAAGTTGTCTAAAAATAATGATAAGTTGATTTACTCTGATATATTTGTGGATTCCAGTAAAGCCATATCTGCTGATATTAACTAATTTAATTATTAAATTATATACATATAATATCTTTTACTACATTTTTCAATCAAAACATCGTTTCAATATGACAAATATGCAGTATGTGCTGTAGGCTGGGTTTTGAGGATTGATTCTTTGCATATGGGGTTGTAGTAACCGAAAAACTGATTAACACAATACAGAATTGGGTCATTCAAAGCAGTTGGTCATAATAATTGGAATTCTATATGAAACCAAATTTATGAATGAAAGTATATCGCAATATGCTGTTGGTCATCAAAACTCAATTCGTAATAATCAAATTATTTCAATCAAAGCATCAAAGCACTTTAAAGTTATTTGAAAAAAACTGAAAACCTTTGTCAACTTTGGTGCCCTCTACCAGTGAAACTAAGCAATATTGAATAGAGGTAAATTTAATTAAATCTTATTTTGATACCATGTACATGATATATTGATACACCTCGTATATTTTAATGATTGAATGTGAATTTCCATAAATGGGCTAATACAGAATTTCACAAGTGCTTTTTCTTTATTTTAAGAGCGAAAATAGGGACAAAAATGTTGTGCGAATAATAAACTATTAATAAAACTGCATTTGCATTACTTATTATTGCTAGTTCAATTTAAACTAAGTGGTCCAGATTCAAATAATACAGAATAGCCCATAAATGTAAAGTTTATTATTCCTTATACTAGATGGCAGCATATATATCTCACCTATAAAGTAGAAAGTGACTTCTTTGACACTTATTTTCTGAACCTTGTGTATTTGATCCTTCTGATTGTTCAGATGAGAAGTGATGTTTGGGGTTTTTCAGAAGATTATTTCTGAAGTCTGCTCCCCAGTTTTTTTGTTACGACTTGGAGCAGACGATACTCTTCTGATCTCATCTGTTATATTAAAGAAGGATCCTTTCTTTACTTTTATTTAAAGAGTTTTTCAAATGTTTAAAAATAATATGCATTGTCATTGTATAATAGAATAGGATAGGTATAAATGGTAATTTTTCTGAAAAAAGATTGATTTTTTTTTAAATTGGTTTGAATTGAATCAATATTCATGTGAAAATACATCAATGTTTCTTTTTGATGTGATACATCGAAACGCTGCATTATGCATTGATTTCATTCATTGATTTATGAATTTATGATGCATTGAATAAAAATTATCGATGGTTTCCATGCATCAGTTAAAAAACAATTTTTACTTTTTCATGTCTACTTTAAATGATTTTTTTTGATGTTTATATATACAGGGTGTTTCTAAAATGGGGTTCCAAACTTCTGCTGCGTTTATAACTTATTAAAATAAGCAAAAAAAGTTACTATTAACGTGCCCTAAAACGCACCCTTAGGAAGTTATATGCCCTTAAAAGGGCTCAAACAAAACTGTTTTTTTTTATACTTAAATTTTCCACACCACTTTTACTGCAAAGCTCTATTGACAGTTTATCAATAACTTAAATTGTTAAGCATTGTGGCAATATCAGTCTTTTATTTGCCATGTTAAACAGATTTTTGTAATTTTTGGCCTAATAACTTAAAGAGCAGAGTAATTTTCAAACTCAATTTACTCGAAAACCATTGGAAATATCGATTTGGACAAAGATAATATTTTTTACGTAAAATTGTTAATTGTTTATAAATCTGTAGAGAAAATTGTAAAAAAATTGAAATAAAAAAAATTACGGGCCGAAAACCCCCTTCACCAACTTAAATGAGACGCATATGATTTGCATGTCGCAAAACGGAGTAGCCCATGTTATTTAATGTAAAAAGTTATGTAAGACCCATACATTTTTTTCTATTTATTTGCGACCGTTTTGTCAATAACAGAAAAAAACCAGTTTTGTTTGAGCCCTTTTAAGGGCATATAACTTCCTAAGGGTGCGTTTTAGGGCACATGTTAATAGGAAATTTTTGGCTTATTTTAATGAGTTATTACGCAGCGGAAGTTTGGAACCCTATTTTACAAACACTCTGTATAGTTAGTTACATCAAAAATATGCAAATACACATAGTCGTAGTATCTTAATATTTTTTATATACTTGGTTCATTCATTAATTCATTTTTTCTACGTCTATTTAATGACTAAACGAAATCTATTGAAAAAAAATAAAATTAAACAACACAGTTTCGAACTCAGTTTTGCCTGTTTGCAAGCCACAGTACTGGATAGAAAAGTTTTCTTTAAAGTAAATTATAAGCTAGTTTGGAGTTGTATTATATTACCTCAAATCATGTGTAGAGGCGCTGTTTACGTTTCATACTACCAATAATTTTATCTTCGAAAAAATTTTTTCTCAATCTTGCAGTTTTTTTAAGTTTATTTATACTTATAAAAAATAATACGAGACCTCGCTGGGCTGCTACTAACAGACATATCAGACACATGCAAAGGAAAAGAGATATACAGCCTACTCCGAATTGAATATTACAATAATGGCTATAATTAACCATTTTTAATTTTTATTTTAAATTTCCCACCGCTGCATGGGCAATCCCCTTAATTCATTGAAATTCGAGAAAGATGACAAAAAAAGAGCTTACGCAAAAAGATAAACGGAAAGTTTAGTACTATTACAATGCGTGGTGTCATTTAATGCATCGAATAAAATTCATCGATGCATTGTTAAACATTGAAAGTAACCGATGCATTAGATTGATTTGATATATCGGATAGTAAACATCAATGTATATCGAGCATCGCTAATTTGAATCGAAGTCTGAATAATCAATTCATAAAAAAAATCATGGTCTAGAAATTTGGTTTCTCAAAAATCAATCTTCAATTTCTTTTTAAACTTTTATATCGAAAACAAACAAGACACTAATGCAAAATAATTTATTTTTATCGTTTTTAACTTTATTAAAGTAAAAAGTATAAACCTTTCTTATAAGTAGGTCAAAGCGTTAAAGTGAAGAGTTATTTTTAATTTAACAATCAATTTTATCATGTACCTTTTATTTTTTAAAGCACAAAATAATTATAATTCCTAGGATGGCAGATTCAAGCTTTTGAGGAACAAATAAAGAAACTCATAAACAAATTCAAAATGACTTGACAGTTTTGGATCTGGTAATGGCAACTGGCATAACTGAAATTAAATGTACAGTATCAAAGCAGAAAATTAGAAGTAATTAGTTCTTCTCAATTAGTTATTGTTACCTAACTTGCATTAAACAAAAATCAGTATTAATTTAGTTATTTGTAGTACATGACAACAGTCAAGAGTCAGTCAATCAGGACGCAATATTAAACACAAACCACAGGTCACAAACAAACAAAAACAAAATATGTGACAGTATTATTTTTTAGCTCATTTTTATTTCATCGTAGTATGTTAGCTTTTTTTATATGAAAAAAAAGGTGGGTTTAGGCGTAGCTCACTAAGCCTAACACAAATAATTATAACTCAGATAAAAATTAACTTTAGAGTAACATCGTAGCGAGCGAGAAAACACAGTATCGCTATCTATCGAGTTTATGGTTTATGAAAAGCCGTCATTTCTTTATATGTGTTTGGGTGCTTTCAACTAATTGCAAATAATTTTATGGTTGCATTCTTACTGAAACAGAAAAAATCGAATCTCAATTATTGAGTGTCTGAGATTGATTCACTGGATCGATCCATTGCTTAATATCGAGTAAAAAAATCAATTTTTATGGCCCAAAGAATCGATTATTCTCTTAATCAATCTCAGATCACGTTCCCTATTTTATAATTGACCAAAACGGTTCCACAACATTTGTAAAGTTAAATGATACTTTTTAGTGATGAGCAAAATGGTTGCACATTTGTAACGTCACAAGTAGTAATGGGCACTATCAAATAAATGCAGCTATCAAATAATTAGTAATTGGTATACCTCCAATTATTAAATAAATTAAGTTGCTGGACTATGGAATAAATATCTTATTTATTTTTAGATAGAAAGATGATTTATCATGAGTTAATGTGGTTCGATAGTAACTCGTTTATGCGAATAACTATCATTCGTAATATTTGTGCTTGTTTCATTTCATCTACTAACACTAACTTCTGACTAGGATTATCGACTACTAGTTCTCTGGCTTGGAACCGAATAGTTTAATATCCATTTTAATCATATTTTCATTCTAATGCGTTTTGGACTATCAAATAATTTGATATTATCAAATATTTTAATAGTTTTTATTCAATAGTGACCATCAATAATTACAAATAATACCGTTAGTTTGTAATTTTGAGTCAGCTTGATGAACACTATCAAATACCTTGAGAATTATACATTACTAATTACTATATCAGAAAGTTTCAGTTCATTCTTGTTCTACATTTGCTTTTAAATTATTTTAATTATTATATTTTGAACAAATTTGTTTTCTAATGTTTTATTTGTGGCTATTTTTGTTGTTATAATATATGGATATTTTCACCTACAGAATGTTACAAAACTACTTTAAAATAATTAAAAACATTAAATTATTTGTATTCATAAAGAAAGTGTAATAGGATTTTACGAAACACGGATAATAGCACCTAAAATGTGTAGATACCAGTTGGAAAATTACAGTAATACATTATTGTGCCAGTTCTGTCACCAAGTTGCAGTTTCTAATTCCTCGTTTCTTAAAAGAATGAAAAGCAGGAAAAAAAGATTCCTCACTTGCACAATTTTATGTTCTTGTAGGAGTAATGTGCAATAACATTTCAACAAATTCCTGCTACAAATTACTGTTACAAAAATACCAACCCAGCACTGATAAGTACTATTCCAGAAAAATACTACTTTGTAACGTCTGAGGCAGCTGGAGGATAATTTTTATATTATTTATTTACTCAAAAATTGTTTATTCAAGTTTCTATTTGTAAAGTCAAACATGATAAGTTTATATATTTATATTAAATTTACATAACTATGGTTTCTGAACTTTTTATTATGTTCATTAGGTTTATCTTTCTCATTATTCATTAATTTTGACACAAGATGCATAAATGTAAATCTACACTTGTATTTCAGACTCGTGCTCAGCAGGTATATCAACAGAATTTATATTCACCTTATCCACAATATTCAACTGCCAAGCAGCCACAAAGCATTCTCACCAGTAATTATCCTATTCACCCTGACGTCAAGTTCAGAAGACTGCCATTTTATGACATATTAGCAGATCTCCTTAAACCATCGTCATTAGTTCCCCAGAGCAACCAAAGAATGCAGGAGGGTACATTTTACTTTCATCTTACACCTCAGCAAGCTACTGATGTCGCTAGCTCTAGAGATATCCGACCTGGTGTTAAATGTGATTATGTTAAACAAGTACAAATGCGGTTCTGCCTTTTGGAGACCACCTGTGAACAAGAAGATTATTTCCCCCCAAATGTTATAGTTAAGGTTAATAACAAACTCTGCCCACTACCGGTAAGTTTGACATGTATATATTTAGTATTTTAACCTTACTATTAAGAAATATTCCGTAAAATTAATTAATTATTATTTTCTTCTTTATGAGTGTCATATAAAAGTAGATCAAGCAGTTAACCATTGATTTTTTGAAAAATTTTCGGATTGGTGACCATATTAGATTTCTTTTGTTTCGAGAGACATATCTTTTTCATCTTCAGAAGAAACTCTGAAATACAGGGTCCATTATAAAAGTAATGCGCATTTTCTGGGAAAAATAGATTTATTGATCATACCAGTACAAATGCTTAAAATTCTTCTAAATATTCTCCCCCAGCATCAATACACTTGCGGAGACGTGCCTGCCATGCCTGGAAGGTACCTTGAAACTCTTCAATGGGAATTGCTCTTAGGAACATTGTAACATGCTTTTGGTTGTTTTCCACAGACTCCCAATGCCTTCTTTTCAGCTCTCTCTTCAGTCAGGGAAACAAAAAAAAGTTGCACGAAGCCAAGTCGGGACTGTAAGGGGTCTGGGGGACCACCGGGTGTCGCCCTGGGCCAGGAAGTTGGTAACGTTGAAGGCCGTGTGGCTGATGGGATTGTTGTGGTGAAGTTTGATAGTGTTTTTGATGTCAGCCCTTACGCGCGACCGAGTTTTTCAATCTCTTGAACACCTCCAGGTAAAAGGCTGAGCTGACGTCAAAATAGTCAATGAACATCGTTTTTCATTCACGCTTTCTTGGGGTGGGGGGATGATTTTGTGTGCCACTTGCTGCTCTGCCTTTTCGATTCTGGGTCATTCTCGAACATTCAGGATTCGTCTCTGGTTACGACAGAATTAAGAAAGCCCGGCTCATTTTGAATCAATTTCAACAATTCTTGACAGCGCAAAATTCAAAGTTCTTTCTGGTCTTCCGTCAACACTTTCGGAACAAGCTTCGCGCAGACCTTGCACATTGCAGATCCTCGGTCACTATCCCATGTACCGCAAATGTGGACATGTTTAGGGTGTCAGCAATTTCCTGGATGCTCAATCGACGGTCGGAACGAAAAACTTCGTGGACAATTTTCACGTTTTTGTCGGTTCTGGCCATTGTTAGGTGTCCAGAACGGGGTTCGTCAGCGATATCCTCCCGGCCCTCCTTGAACGCCTTGTGCCATCTCCCGGACTGTGACCTTGAAATGCAGTCGTCCTTGAAGGCCCCTTGAACAGCGGCGGCCCGTGGGTTTGAATACAGGGGGGGCACATTTAGAAAAGAGGACGTACATCATAAACGGTAGCCCCCCGCTTAGCGCTGCAGGCGAAATATTTTAAGAAATTTGAAGGTCATTGTGTTTTGCAAGTACCCCAAAATGAATACTGTCAGTGTGTACAGTAGCTACTTAGATACAATGTGAGAAATAAAATTCCAACATGTGGGGGCTGAAGTGGATAATCGATCAACTAACCCAATTAGGATATAATTATGTAGATTACTGTAATAGTTCATTCTGTATAGTTTTTGAAGTTCCTTTAAAAACATGGGCATCGTTAAGATGTTTATCTAAAACGGGATCAATTTTTGCACTATAGTCTATCAGTTCTAAAAATACCTCTTTGTTTACCGAGTCACTTTTTTTATTATGTCCACGAAGAGGAAGGTTACATGTACCACATAGTTTTAAGATATCTATAATTTTTGAAAAAAGCAATAGATTTTTCTTAACTGTTTCGTTACGACTATTTACTATTTATTTGTTCTGCATAAGCACTATTTAAACAAGAGGCAATATTTACTCTTCCTAAAAGTAAAAAACTCACCAACTTATTTTTGTGTTTAGGAGAATTTTCGTGTTTCTTAATTTTAATTTCTAAATGTTTCAAGTCAGAAACTCCAGTTTTCGTCCAGTTTTCTTCGCCTCCTCCAAACAATAAACATACAAAACAAAAAAATCTATTTGTTTGGGCACAACCACACAACCACAGGATCTTATCATAAATGTTTTTATCAAATTTGCAAAAGCCGGCCCACTTTTGCATTCTTTCTGCACCTGAACTAAATTCAACACTGGCGTTGGACGTCCGTTATTTTTCAATTCGACTTTTTCCTCTAAACTTAAATTACTAATAACAAGTTTTTTAATTTCACGAACTCTCATTTTAAACTTAAACTTATAAAATATAATGTCTTAAAAAGCGCCAAAGCAAAAACAAAACACGGATAACCACACTTCGGTGATACGGGTTACTGCCTCATGGAGTCCCAAAACAAAGCGCGCGAGCGCGCGAACCTATCGTCGCCTATCCCCTCCACGTGCCAATTTGTCCAATCATATGTAAAAATATGCTTGCACGATGGACTCGGTCCGCGATGGAGTGGGGATTGCGCGTGCGGTCAAACATAACTCTTTCATACGATCATAGATGGCAGATGGCATTAATCTGAGCTACGTTCACGGAGTACATGCACTTTATGCAACCAACCTAACATCCAAAAGATATTGAATGCATGCTATTTAGATTTATAATTGATTTAAATAAATACATTATTTTAAATTCATAGTTTGAAAATATCTGGGGGGGGCGGAGTCCCAGAGTTCTCCTTCACGAGCTGCCACTGCCCTTGAAGCATCTGGAATGTTTTGGTTGCATTCTTTCCCAAACGCACACAAAACTTAATGGCGTATCGCTGTCAAGCGAACGCGAAAAACACACTTTATGCGGAGGCACGTTTTTCCACTCAGACTGCTCGGAGCAAATTGGTGACCGGCTGCATTGGAAGGGCAGACCTCCCCACTACATTTCACGCCGCTGCGATGGATAGTCGCGTCAAAATAAAATCATGCGCATTACTTTCATAATGGACTCTGTAGTTTCAGGGTTCTTCTGAAGGCAATATCTCTCAAAGTGTCAAGAAGTCTAAACCAACGACCTGATAACAAGTCATTTTTCATTTAAAGTTAAAATTAAAAAAATAGTTTTTTAGTTTTTATTGATAATTCTGTTCTTTAAGATATTCAGGTTACCTTTACTTCATGTCGTTATGTATACTTTTTAGTAATTTTCAAAAAAAAAATTGCGGAAGAAAGAATGTTTGCTACTTAAACTTTCTTCATGTATAATTTTAATAGCTATGAGATATAGCAACTACTTTGGATATGTGACAAAAAGTTTTTATTTAAGAAAAATATTTTGAAATAATATCTTTGTCATAGATTTTGGTAAAACCTCTCTTAATTTGATCAATATGAAATAGAGATTGTAAATCATTAGGTTCATTTCAGTATTAGAATTGAGAAAACAAAACATCTCACAGACATTAGTATTAAAAATTAAAAGTACGTCGGGGGGTGGACAAAACTTACTAAATATGAGATGGCTTAAAAATGAGACTTCAAAAAAAAAAGAGTCAGTTTAACACATGCGTATATCAATATACCTTTTCATGAATTGTCTTATATTTTTTGTAATTGTGTCTTTTTTATGTAATGAATTTCCATTAGTAATTATTTTTATATTCACTCAAAAAATCTGTTATTAACGGTTTGACCTATTTTTTTGTAATATTCTGATGACCATCTGTGACTATAATTTAAAAAGTGATGCTTTATTTCAGAACCCTATTCCTACAAACAAACCCGGTGTTGAACCTAAACGGCCACCCCGTCCAGTAAATATAACTCAGTTGGTTAAATTAAGCCCTACAGTGGCTAATACCATAACTGTATCGTGGGCGGCAGATTACGGCCGAGGGTACGCAATAACAGTTGCGCTCGTCCACAAATTAACATCATTTGATCTTCTTCAGCGTTTGAAAAACAAAGGTGTTAAGAATGCAGATCACACTAGAGCTCTAAGTAAGATACACAGTACTAACATTTGTTGTTTTTTCCTAAACATGTATTTGCAGTCAAAGAAAAATTGAGTGATGATGGCGATTGCGAGATTGCCACAACATCATTAAGGGTGTCCTTAATGTGTCCTTTGGGTAAAATGAGAATGACCACCCCATGTCGAGCCATTACTTGTAGCCATTTGCAGTGCTTTGATGCCTCTTTATATCTACAAATGAATGAACGTAAACCAACTTGGAACTGTCCTGTGTGCGATAAACCTTCTCTGTATGACAATTTGGTTATAGATGGGTAAGTAAAAGAGTCACTTGAAATTATGTTTTTGATAACTATTTTAGACGTAGTAAAAAAAATGCTTTATTATTATACAGATCGTGAAAGCTTTAGAAGGTGATTCTGCTCTTAAAAATAATGGTAACTTCCTAGATACTTTTTTGAAAACATAATATTAACTTAAAAGTACAATAAGACCCCGCTTAACGCGTAGGATATGTTTCATCAAAGTAGAGCGTAATGCGAAACAGCGCTAAACGAGGCTATCTTAACATGTAAATAATGAGGTTAGGGGAAGATGGATAGAAAATTGGTTAGGTATTAAATTTAATAATTATGTTTTTTTTTTAATAAAAATAAAACCAAACATTTATTTCTTACAAAAATAAAAACAATATAAACGAATATTACTTATAAAAACAAATAAAATTCTAAGTCAGTCAGATCATTCAGTCTATTGTGTTTCCAATTTTCTGCCTTTTTGTCAAGAAGGCATCTAATGTAGTTTGCGTTTTCCTTTTGCTTTCTGTTAGAAGTTGTTGATAAGTGGATTATCATTATCACCCATGATAAAAACTAAAGATCATAATATTTGTCACTGTATTAATCGTTATAGTATTATATAAATTTATACTTACAATAATGTCAACAAATGTTTCAACTGATAAAAATGCGTCCGTACAGCACTGCACCAATTAAGATACACAACTACACTGTTTCGGATAGGTTATGTACATATTTGGAAACCTAGCGCTGCACACAATTTCGGGGAATCCCCGTAGTGCTGCGAGCAATTTCGGGGAATCCTCGGGTTGAAATAAAAGAGCGCTAAACCAAAACAGCGCTAAACGAAACAGCGTTAAGTGGGGTCTTACTGTATTATTTTCTTTTTAATTTGACGATTTTTTCAATCAAGAAATAAACAAGAGCATCTATGCAAGATCATAACCAGCTGAAAGCTTCTGGCAGGGCAAAAAGTTTCCTCAGGGCAATACAAATTTGATGGATAGCTAGTAGAGAGATATGTTTGTGCCCCCTAGTCATAGTTTAAAAAAAACATTCCGACTACAGCCCTGCTCTCAAAAAAAAGAAAAAAATAGAATTCTAAAGCTTGAAAGGGCTTCAATGGTCTTTGTCAATAGAAAATCAATTATAACTTTTTATTTGAGAAAGAACTCATTTAAAGATTGGAGCAATCCTTAAAGACAGTTATAATTTCTATATTTTGTATAAACAAAGCAGGACTCAGTGCCTAGGTCTTCTATACGGTCACACTGGCAGAGAGCGACCTGCAATTTCACAGGTAATATAAAAGCATGATCTCATTCGTGAATTAGGTGATCCGATTTTTAACTGATGACCATATTGTGGAAAACATCTACTTTTTGGACTACATGCCCCGACTAGCATTAAATTGCAGGTTGCTCACTGCTAGTGTGGCTGTATTGAAGACATAGACATTGAGTAGCAATCATAGATCGGTATACTCACTCCATGTCCATAATTAAGACATCAAAAATAGCTGGATCATTCGTTAGTTGTCTGACCTATGGCATATTGATGGGGAATAATAATTCCAAAACCAGTATACAGTGCATTCCGGTTATAAAGTACCCTCTAAAGAGGAAAAAATGTGTACTTTATAACCAGAGATACGTTATAAAAAAACTATATAGGGTGTCCCGAAATTCATGTAACAAAATTTGGTCACAGATTTTTAAGACAAATTTAGGGGATCCGTATTTTTTATTTTTGCAGTTACAGCCCCCTGAAGTTCACCCCTAAGAATAATCTTTTTTTTATATCAGAACCCTGTTGTACCAAAATCACTAAATTTGGTACACAGGGGTTTTATGACATATGGAATCTGATGGTGCTACGTTTTTTGGCAGGGAACTTCCTTAAGACAATTTTTCGTGGGCCCCTTTATCCTTGGAGCCAAAAAAATTTGGTAGCATATTTAAATTTCTTAAAAATTATCAGTCCACTAAAAAGCCATTAAATTAAGAAACTTTTTGTCTTTTTATACTTTTTTGTAAAACGCAATCATTTTCGAGAAAAATGTCAAAATTCAAAAACATTGCGTTTTACAAAACAAATATCAAGAGACAGAAAAGTTTCTAAATTCAATGGCTTTCTAGCTAACTAATAATTTAAAAAAAAAAATCAAATTTGCGACCAAATTTTTCTGGTTCCAAAGACGAAAAAGTGTCTTAAGGGGGTTTCTCGCCAAAAAGAGTAACACTGTGAGATTACACATGTCATAAAACCCCTGTGTACCAAATTTAGTGATTCTCGTACAATAGGGTTCTGAGATATAAAAAAAAGATTATTCTTAGGGGCAGACTTCAGGAGGCTGTAACTCCGAAAGAGGGAGCCCGTTTTCAAAAAGAAAATATACGGGTCCCCTAAAGTCTTAAGAATCTATGACAAAATTTTGTTGCACGAATTTCGGGGACACCCGAAAAGTAATATGTATTTTTTATTTGGTTTAAATAAACAACTAATAAACAAATCCTATGTAATATAAAAAAATTGCATATGCAATACATAAACTGGAATAAAACCCAAATAATTACATAAATACATAATATGTATGTAAAACATTTTATTTTTTGGTAAAAAAACTTGTTATTTTTGTTTCTTGACTTTTTTTACTTAATTTTATATTCTCGATGTGCTTCTCAATTTTTAAGGATGCTTGCAGAATTCCCGTGAGGAATCACAGTCCGGTTATAACGTACATTCGTATTTTACAACCTGAATATGACAATTATATGAGTGAAAATATTGAACGTTGAAGTACAAGAGTAATTGGTCGGGTCCAATTAAATGAATATGTAATAACCGAAAGTACGTTATAGGCGGACTACACTATTCTAGTTTTTTACTAGATATTATTGGTATAATTCAATATCTTGTCGGGTTGTAGCCCGTAAAGTAGTTATTTCCTGCGATAACATCAGTTAAAGCAGGATTGAAATATAATTGAAAATTATGTTTAAAACATAAATTATGGGCAAATATTAATTGACAAAAGAAAATAATAATAAAGATGACTTAACGTAACAAGTTTTTGAAAAAATGTCATAGACTTATTTATGCCATTATTTTTTCCATCCTTTTTATTATTTCATTTTCATCTTTTTGTAGGTATTTCCAAGAAGTATTGAACTCACCCACCTTACTTTCTGAGTGCAATGAAATTCAGCTCCACAAAGACGGATCGTGGAGTACTCAAAATCAAGAGAAAAAGACTGTAAAAATTGAAAAACCCACTGTTATTGGTATTGATGACTCTATTGAAATTATCGGAGATGATGTTGGTAAGAAACTTGCATCCCTTAATTTTAACTTGACTATTTCAAACTAACTAATATTTAAATTGTACAGGGTGGATTAATTTGTACATTTTTAGGGAGATTTTTGAGAAAATTTAAACGGCAAGATTCATTTAAGAGATACTTGGCATTTTTAATTTTTGACAGATTTTTATGTTAAATAACTTTATTTGGACAATTTTTTATATTTATAGAAAAGTTTTATACGGTTTTTTTGAGGCATTCCAGTTGCGTACCTGGTATTTTTCTATAACTTCTTTTTGTGTTATAACCTAACATGCTTTTAAATGTAATACTTTAAATATTTTAGAATATGTAAGGTATTTCAAAAAATTCTTTCACATAATTTGTCATACAGGATGTTTGAAAAAAAAATCTTTATTCCTTTCTTTTTATAATTCTGAAGATAATATAATTAAAAAAAAACTGCTAGTAATTTGATTTTCATTGAATTTGAAAGAAAATATTTTTCAATTAATGCTCGGTCTGCTTGTTCCAGAAATTGTTGTGAACAATACGGCAACATCATCGACCGATAAACCTAAACAGGAAGAGAAGACTCCCGAGAAGAAAAAGGACGTGGTTGACCTTACTCTGTCGGATTCTGACGATGACGAACCTTTAGCCAAAAGACGAGCCGTAAATCCGAAACCTGGTGAGCAATGCATTTGATTAACTTATTTCTTTTTATTAATTAAGTGTGAATTCCAGTGCGTCGAAGAGTGCTGAGAAGTGTGCAAATATCTAGTACCAATTAGGTTTTACTGTAGTATTATTATTTATTTATTTTGTTTTTTATTGTCCTATCTGCAAATATGGAATGAAAAACTTAAATTCTGTATTATGTAAAAATGTAATTAATTTTAAAAAATCATTCAAAGAGAAACATGTTTAGAATCATTACTATTCTTGCAATACAAATTTTATATTTCTTGAGATTGCTTAAAAATTTTTAAAATAGTTTATATTTGAGTGAATCAGGTCGTTTGATAAAAGAGTTTACAGTGGCTAGCAAAAGTATTCATACAGGAGAGCATGCGACACACAAAAGATCTGTACCAATGTAAATAAAACAAACATAAATGAAACATTTATTAAGTCATCGTGGGCTTAAGACCTCTACACCCTCCTACTAAACGAAAAAAAAAAAAATGGCATTCATAAAAAATGAAAAATAAAAATAACTTGCTTAGCACAAAATATATATCGCAAAAGGATTTGCACAGTTACGAAAATTATAAAATATATATTGAAGCGAAATTACATATTAATATTTGGTTGAATATCTTTTAGACTTAAGAATGGTAGAAAGTCGGTGTGGCATAGAACCTACTAATTTTTTGGTCAAATGAGGGCTTATACTCTTCCATTTGTCAAGCAATATGGTTTTCAGTTGGGTTTTACTATTACACTATGATTTCGTACACGTTTTTCAAGTTCGTCCCATAAATTCCCGATGGGGTTAATTAATATCCGTACTTTGAGGAAGTGTAGCAAGGATATGGGGTATATTGAACGTGATCCACTGATGTACCATATAAGCTGTATGCTTTAGGTTGTTGCCCTGCTGGAAATTGTAATTATTGCTCATTCCAAGTAAATTGGCGCTTTCTTTTAAATTTTCCCTCATAATTCTTACGTTTGTCCATTATACCCTGTGTTGTTACTAATTTTTCAATACTTCTGCTGGACATACAGTCCCATACCATACATGATTTCTTGCCCTCTATGTTTCACAATAGATTGGAAATTCTTGGGATTCAGATCTTTGTTTGTTTGGTTTTCTCCATATGCGTATTTGTGTGCCGGACCCGAATATATTTAATTTCGACTCATCGGAGAAAATGACTATTCCAAAAATCAGGTTTTTCAATTATATACCGTTTTGCAAAAATCTAAACGTTTCCTTCTATTTGTAGCATTAATGTACGGGCGATGCACGATTTCAACCCAGCAGGGTTAAGTACCATGCGAATCATATCCAGACTAACTTTTTGTTAAAGACTTCTACTTTCCTAGTTATTGCACAGTTGAATGGATTCATACCTTTGCTATTTCTTATTATGATTTTTGTTGGCTGTGTAATCTTAATATTATATTCCTTTTGGCAATTCTCGTTTCGTTTCCTTTCTGTCCAGACGTAATGAAAAATGTACTCGTTCGTATGTAAACTGTGAGGTTAAATCTAAACGCACGTGATTTGCATACTGAAAAAGGTGCTGTACGAATATTTTTGCAATATACCTTCTCGATCATTTGAACTATTGTATTTATTTCGTATTAGCTTCTGAAATTTCTATTAATAATAACATTTCTAAAAAGGTGTTGTTCTAAGCATTGTTTACTTGATAATAGATCATTGTTCCACCGCATGCTCTCCTGTACGAATACTTTTGCTGGCCGCTTTAACTGAAAACAATAGTAGCTTTGCGCAATAAGATAAAATTCAGAACTCTGCACTAGATATATTAAATTTCATCGTTACATAAACAGACATTAGTGTTTTTTTTCTTAATATTTATTTTTTTATATAAGTGTTAGTCAAATATTTATTTTAGAGATTTTTAATAAACAAAATTTGTCAGTCATTTCTTTGAGGATAGTCGGAAATTTTAGATTTTGTGTGAAATCGCGATCTCCATATAATTTAAGAGTTATCATATTACTTAATTATTTTTGATAGTTATGACTAGAAATGTACCTTTTTTAATTAATGAGAAGGGAAGACTTGAGGGGAAATTATTAAAATATCAAAAAATTTATTTCTTCAAGCTTCCCAAATATAGAATTAGGTGCTGTTAACTATAGTTATGTTGCATAATTGTAACTTTTTCAAAATTATACTTTTTTTCAATTACATTTTTATTTATTTTTATTCCTTTAGTCCTCGTATTTCAGAAAAGTAGTTTTAGATATTTCGAACATTTGTTTTTTTTTAATTCTTACGTAAGTTGAAAAAATTTCTAATTAAAGATATTTGCTATCGAGAAGTTTTTGAATGATAATTCAATTTCATTTAGTTAGTGAATAATTTAAATAAAAGTAAACCATAAATTTAATATATTTTTTTATATAAAAAATGAGTATTTGCATTTAATATTACCTATTAATTTTCTGATTTAATTGGTAAAATTGACTATTGGTATGTAGCACTTCTGAATCGGTCTTCTTAGCACTGGGAGTATATTAAGAAATATATTCTGGATATATCACATTAAAAACAGTCACCTTAAGTAATTCTTAAAAATTATTACTTGTACAATTTACAACTATTATTTCCTGTTTTAGAGATTTTACTTCAATTTCATATTAAACAATATCAGGGAAATTGGGAATACCGGGAAAAGTCAGGGAATTAATTGTTCTTCATAAAAAAAAACAGAGAATAGTCAGGGGATTTTAAAAGTATTCATGAAAGTCATATAGATAGTCAGATAACCTCTAACACAAAATATCCAATAATTTTTTTTAATCAATTTAAAAAGTTGTGTCTAATAAAAAAATAATTCGAATTTATGAAATGTTTTATTATTTCTAATTAGTATTGCTAATAGTAGTAAAAACAATTGTTGGATATTTTGTGCGGTATTGACTTTTATACTGTTATGACTTCATCCAATAGTATTTTGAAAGCGTTCAGTCTTACTTAGGAAAAATTTTAAATAAAACAAGCTAAAAACATTTTAAGCGATTGCAATAGTAATATAATCTAATTCAGAATTAAAAATTACTAGATTTGGTCATAAAAATAGCAACGACATATTTAAAAAAGAATCTTGATGATGGCCCCTCTGATTTTTCCGGAACTACCCGGAATTTTAAAAGTTTCTAAACGGCATAACTTTTTTCTAATCTGAGCCACCCCGTATCTCTTACCGTTTCCTAGATCCTAATGCTATCCCATCCTTATCTTGGACACACTGTATATCTATGAATTCATCAAAATTTAAAAAAAATAAGTACACTGATCGATCCTACGGAAAAAAAATTATTATATATTTTATTTATTTACTATTCGACATGTTTATAGCAATACTATACAATAATACAGTTTTGGGTCAAACAATGAGACAGTTTTTTTGTATATTTTCCATACAATTGAATGGTGTAATCAGTTTTTGATTTTTTTTAATTTAAACAAATTATCTACAATTACTGGAAAATTCATTGTTGCGTCATTTTGTATTTTTTTACATTTTTGAGTATGTTTTTGAACAGTGATTACAGATTTTTTTATTTCACCAAAAAGTATGTCAAAACGAAAAAAATGATCGTCAAAAAAGTTGTTTGAGACCGGAAAAAATGAATATCTCTAAACTTCTTGATTTTTTTATCTAAAAAAATTTATGGTTATTTAAGACACAGAAAGGTATACTTTCACTAAGTTTTGTCAAAATTAAATAATTTTTTTGGAAATGAGAAATAAAAAACGAAAAATAAGAAAAAACCTGTTTTTCGCTTTTTTCTCGGAAATTTTGAGATTATCTTAAAAAGTGACCTCTACGAAAGTTGTAGATTTTTGCGTGATCTACAACTTTTGTATTGGATACTTTTTTGTTTGACGTCAACCTTCGCCAGAAATCCCAATGATACAATTTTTCACAAATTTTCAACCCCCCAAATTAACCCTCCGCCACGCCACCCCTGCTCATGCATTTATTTTTTTTCTATTATTATAAGCTCCTTTACCATTTCCACTTATAAAAGTCCAGGTAACAATTTTCTATTTTTTTCCCTCTAAATGAGTTATTTTGATTGGTCAAAATGGGAAAATGTTAGTTTGAATTAAAAATAAAGTCTGTTTAGATTCGTAACGTTCTTCTATTTTTTTTTTATTCATTTAGGTTGTCCACAAATAGGTAACTTTTTTATTATAAATTTGACGAAAAAAAGATATTCTTTATAAAAAGTTCTGCTTTTTGAAAAAATTGTATTAAATTTTTCATATTTGAGATATCATATGGTCAAAAATGAAAAATCAAGTTTAGAACGTGAATATGAGACTATTTTCCGGCAATACTCCGGCATTATACTTTTCTGGAAAATAAAAATGATTTGTACTTCTCCTTTGCCAAATTTGATTTTTTTAATAATTTTTGTCACTGTATATGCTATTTCAATTTTGAAAAATTCAATACCATTTTTTCAAAAAACAGAACTTTTTATAAAGAATACCTTTTATCGTAAAATTGATAATAAAAAAGTTACCCATTTGTAGAGAACTTAAAGGGACACACTGTATATGGTGAGAACGGGATATGCATATGTGTTGTTATTTGTTTTTATTTTTAAATTTACACCAGGTGGAAGAATTGGATAAATAATTTTCAAAACAGTTTTCCATATACAAAATAATTATTAGGTACTTACATATTTATTACTTACAAAAATAAGTGAATACAAAAAATGGCCAGGACAGATGCCAGGTTCAAAAGAACTAACAAACTTCGCACAAGAACGGGATAACGTGACATGTAACTTATTCTGTTCTTGTACCATTTTATAGCAGGGGATAAGTGATTTTATCTTATTCAGTGCTTTTTAAGCTTACAAATCAATCTACAATAATCTAATTCTACAGAAATTACTGCGGTACTGAAAAAAAAAAAATTATATAAATAACTCCTTTCTAAGGATTAGTCGAAGAGTTGGTTTTATAAATTTAGTTACAAACAAAATACAAAACTTAGATTTTCTTTGCGTCAAATGAGATACATTTCGCAGTTTATTTGAAATGTTAACTATGTTATGTATTATAGTGAATATTGTGTAGACAAGAAAAATTAAATTTATAAAATCAACCTTTTGACTGATGCTTTTGGCGCAAGGAGTATTTATAACAAAAAATCTTTCAATTATTGGCAAAAACCATATTGGATATAATTTCCTGCAGATTCCACAAGCATATCGTCTAGCAGCAACCAATCTAGAGTGACTACAACACCTGGTCCATCATCAGTGTCTAGTTCCGGATACCCCGCCAGCCCATCTGTCATAAATTTGGACAGCCCATCTCCGCCGCGTTCCCCTCACCCTACACCTCAACCGCAGCAGCCTCCGCAGCCACCATCCTGCATGATGGCAGGACAAACTAATGGAAACTCAAAACAGCCTACACCTTTTATGAGTCCGAGTAATAGTTTGCCCTATTTAGATCTGGATAATGAGGCAGCTAGCGCTACCATAAATTATCCGACAAGTTACTGAACAGGCAACAGCGACTGAGGTAATAGTACCAAATCTAAAGGAACGTGTGTAAATTTGGGGGTGTATCGTCGGAAATACCTGCAAATATTTTATAAGAAAAGACGTTTCTAATTCAGTTTCTCGCTGTAAGTGTAATGTATATATCAAATGGAAATAATTGTTACCATAAACGTTTTATATTTTTGATGACGGAAGAGTAATTCTTTGTTCACCAGCAGTTCATTAAATATTTAGTAAGTCAAATTAAATATTTAGTAGCTGATAAATGGTAGTTGTGAAGTTTATATTTGTCAGTGACCGAGATAGGTATTTTTTTCTTAACGACGGCTACAATAACAGTTTTAAATATTAAAATGCCTGTAAATTTTTTTCTGTTTGGTGTTGGACAAGAATTTGAGCATTCGCTTGTTGAAGTAATTGGACAGTATTTGTGAAGTGTGTGGGAGTCTCGTCTTTGCTTGTCCACCAAATATTTTGATCGAAGGGCTTTTATAGTAGCTGTCGGTGTCAAAAACAGAATTTTTTCAATCTATCGAAGCATTGAAGTGACTAATATTGTTACACTTCACTATCAAGTTCTGTTTATAGGCAACTATGCGGACGGAGAGTTTTACTTATTTATCGAGCGTTTGTTAATTTCACTATTCACAAGTAAGTATTTAGATTTTCTTACGAGGTTTTTTGCATTATTCCTAGATTAAGTTGAATTTTTGGCACACTAACATGTTAGCATTGAATAAAAGATAGTGGATCTGCCTTTTATTTTTTCAGTAGCCAAAATGCATTATTATTCGATGTGAAGAATTACTATTTTGAAATACAGGGTTAATTTTTATTTCCTTGAAAATTAATCCAAACTTTATTTCTGTCTTATATTTAGAGAGTTTTTTATCGTTTCATGTACAGCAGTCGAATGGCATTTAAGTAATTGCAGTTTTATATTATTTAGTCCTCTAGTTCTTATGTATATGTGGCAAAACAGTTATAATAACACAGGCACACAAAAAAAGTCATATATTGTCTAACAGAGTATGATAACCCTCTTTTATTTTCGTCCGCTGAAGACGATGGAGCCATCAGAAATGCACTATCACGTCACGATTTTTCTCTAACTTCAAGAAATGGCTCAAAATCAGTGAAAATCTGTATTGTTAAAATAGTTAAGATTTTGAAAATAAAGTACACAGACGTGCTAATAGGATCAAAACAAAACCTCTTTATTCCCACACTTTTTTCTCTAAAATGGCTCCTTGTGGAGTTACAACCCTTTGTATCCGATTTTGAGCATTGAAATGCCCATAACTCCCTAAGAATGCATTTTAGAGAAAAAAAATTACAAAAATAAAATGTTCTTGTTTTGACCCAATTAACACACTAACAACAAACAAAAAAACAAACACAAAATTAAAAAAAACAAGTATAATATTTATGTTATACAGGGTGTCCCGAAATTCATGCAACAAAAATTGATCATAGATTCTTTAGACAAATTTAGGGGACCCGCATTTTTTCTTTTTGCCAACTGGCCCCCTCTTTCGGAGTTACAGCCCCCTGAAATCTGCCCCTAAGAAGTCTCTTTTATATCTCAAAACCATGTTGTACGAGAATCACTAAATTTGGTACACAGGCGTTTTATGACGTGGAATATCACAGTGTTATGCTTTTTGGCGAGAAACTCCCTTAAGACACTTTTTAGTGGGCCCCCTTGTCTTTGGAATCAGAAAAATTTGATTGCAAATTTGATTTTTTTAAAAATTAGAAAGCCATTGAACTTAGAAACTTTTTTGTCTCTTGGTATTTGTTTCGTAAAACGCAATGTTTTTGAGGAAAATGGCGAATCACGATATGCATTCGATATGCATTTTGACATTGTTCTCGAAAACATTGCGTTTTACGAAAAATGTATAAAGAGACAAAAAGTTTCTAAATTTAATGGCTTTCTAGTGGACTGATAATTTTTACGAAATTTAAATATGAGACCAAATTTTTTTGGCTCCAAAGACAGGGGGCACACGAAAAATTGTCTTAACCGCAAAAAATATAGCACCGTCAGATTCCACATGTCACAAAACCCCTATGTACCAAATTTAGTGATTCTCGTACAACAGGGTTCTGAGATATAAAAAAAAGATTATTCTTAGGGGCGGACTTCAGGGGGCTGTAACTCCGAAAGAGGGGGCCATTTGGCAAAAATAAAAAATACGGGTCCCCTAAATTTGTCTTAAGAATCTGTGACCAAATTTTATTGCATGAATTTCAGGACACCCTCTATATCGAGTGTCTAATGGATAACCTTTTAACCGTGGATAGGGGACCCTAAGGTCGTTCAGAAAATCAACTTTTGTCTTAGTGCAAAGTCCCTTTCGTTTTTCAGTTATTTCGTTTTTTTTTAATTTCCGCCATGGGTTACTTTATTGGTCTCTACGGCCACAAGAGATCGTATTATCTTTCAGTTATTAATTAATTTTATTTAAAAATTACAGTGAATGTTCAAATTGTCTGCCGCCTTCCCTGATGCAGGCTCTGCACCTTCTTACGAATGCCCTTCGGAGCTTTTGTTTCTAATGTAAAATTTAAATTTAAGATTTTTTTAAATAAGAACTACTATTGCTAGTTACAAATTCCAATAAGCATCTGATAATAACACAATTCAAGAATATTACGCAAAATAACTAAAAGGTATACGTTCTCTTGTGACCGTAGTGACCAATAAACTAACCTATGGTGGAAATTTCGAAAAAAAAAACGAAATAACTGAAAAACAAAGGGACTTGTACTAAGACAAAAATCGATTTTCTGAATGACCTTAGGACCCCCCATCCACGGTTAAAAGGTTAAAAGGACTTACCGGACACACTGTATATTTCAAAATTTTAACTATTTCATAAAAAAAAAATCGAGCTTTCCACTGATTTTGAGCTATTTTTTGAGGTTGGGGAAAAATCCTGAAGTGATGGAGCATTTGTGAGCTCCATCTTCAGTGGGTCAAAATTCAGGGGGCATATTAATTATACTCTGTTAGAAAGTATGTGAATTTTGTTTGTGTGCCAGTGTAATTTCAAATGGGTTTTGGTTATTTCTCCCACTTTTTCAGGAACCCCATAAACTGTCTGTGTCCTATTGTCAATGTCATGCTGGAATATCTCAGTTATTATTGAAAATAGATGAACATTGATTGGCTACTTTTTTGAGGGAAGTCGTCTGGTGAAAAACAGATTTTTGATATTTCGACGTTTTGGAGCTGTAGCTAAAAAGTTAAAATTTTATTAATTTGTGTAAGTCTTATAATGCCTACAGATGGATTTTTTTTTGAAATGTTGGCATTTTATTAGTTTTTTTTGTAGAATCCATTGGTTTTCAATTTGCGGAACAATGTTACAATTTTTTATGGAAACCATAGTTTGCCACGACAGTTAAAATAAGGTATTTTTTGTTTTCAAAAAATATTTAGTTGGTTATAATGTAAAAACCAAGGTAATAACTTTCTATTTATTCTACCAACTACGTATATAAATTTGTTTATCTGTATATGGGGCATTCCATGCCAAATCGACCACTTTTAACCCTGACCCCTTTCGATTTGGCTGAAACTTTTTTATTGTTTTCTACCCCATTGAAAACCTCTTGAGAATTTTTTCAAATTTTTTCACCCAACTCAAAAAAAGTTATGAATTTTTAAAGAAATAGTTTTTTTTTTTAATAACCATAACATTCAAAAATTGAGTTATCGGGACTTTTTTTTTTCAAAATTTTTCTTTTTAAATGTACTTTTTGAAAAAAAATAGATAAAAATTATCTGGACCTATTTCCACCATTTTTTTTTCGATTTTCAAAAAAAAAACGAAAATTTCTCGATTACCATTTTTGAAATTTTTTTTTTCTTAAATAACAAATTTTTTTTAAATCCTCAAATTTTTTCAGTGGTTTTTCGTTTTCTATTTTTTTTATTGATTGAGAAATAATTTTTCTTTTCAAGTTTAGCTTATTTCACATCACTATTTTGAAAACTTTTCAAAATGTATATAGAATCCCAAAATTGAAAAAAATATATGAAAGATATAAATGAAAGTGGTAAACATGAAAAAAATTTCGAATTTTTTTAAAAAAGTTAAGAAAAAATAGATCGTTTTGAATAATTTTTTTGTATTTTTTTCGAAAACTACATCCGAAAACAAAGAAAATGAAAAAGGAAGTTGTTATTTGGGCCATTTTTGGACGAACAGTGGGCTTCAAAAAAAGACATGCAACGCATTTGAACTCAAATAAATCATTTTGAAACCATCCTCTTTTGACTTTTTGAAATTGTCATCGATCGCTGCATAGAATAAATTTTTTCAATTTTCAAAAATGTATTTTTTTTCAATCAATAAAAAAATATAGAAAATGAAGAAAACACTACTGAAAAAATTTGAGGATTTATAAAAATGTCAGTTTTTTTATAAGCAAAAAAATGTTTTCAAAAATTGTAATCGAGAAATTTTCATTTTTTTTTCGAAAATTGAAAAAGGTCCAGATAATTTTGATCTATTTTTTTCATAAAGTACATTTAAAGACAAAAATTTTGAAAAAAAACGTCCTGATAACTCAATTTTTGAAAAGGTTATGGTTATTTAAAAAAATCTATTTTTTTTCAAAAATTCATCTTTTTTAGAGTCGAGTGAAAAAATTTGAAAAAATTCTCAGAGGTTTTCAATGGGGTAGAAAACAATAAAAAAGTTTCAACTAAATCGAAAGAGGTCAGGGTTAAAAGTGGTCGATTTGACGTGGAATGCCCCATATACAATTGGTTTAATAGAATTTGTTTTTGGTCATTCTTGGGAAGTGAAGAACACTGTTTTTAATTAGGTCATGGCCAACTACAGTTTCCATTAAAAAAAATTGGACCTAATTTGTAAGTGGGAAAACATGGTCATTAAAAAAATAATAAAACCATTGAATTCTGTACAATAAGATCTATGATTTAGTGTCAGCATTTAAAAAAACTGCAACTGCAATCACTATAACTTGTAGCTATAACACCAAAATTAAAGAACTTACTCAAAAATCTGTTTTGATCTGAAAATTCTCTAAAAAAAGTCATATTGTCATAAGCATGATATCAAAAATGGGATACTCTGTATATATTTTTTACTTGTTAAATTTTATTATTATTGAAAGCAAAATGAAGCTCAATTATTGGCAAAGATTAATACATTCATAGAAGATTTAAAGACTTAATTTTAATTCACAAGATAACAGATTTTGATTTCTTAAAGCCTATGTTTCTAAGAAAGGGTTTCAGTTTTAGGACTAGTTAGTAGTGATTAAGGTTAATTTATTAGTACATTTGTAAAACATATTTTAGTTTCTGTAAATAAGAATAAATAAGAAATGTCTTATAATAATAATAAATTCATATTCTTTTTCTAAATAATATATATTATATTATGAATTTAAAAAGTAATAAAACTTTTGATAATATACTGCTTCAATTAATTATTTATCTACATATAAAACTCAACTGATGTGCTAATGGCAGTGTAACATAATTTTTGTTCAGAAAGTAACGACTTTTGGAACATTTTTTATGATCACACCCTCCCTTTTAATTTTTTCTATGTAGTGCTGATTTTAATGCTGATGGATCTCTGGTAAGTAACAACTTTTTTAGTTTAGGTCCATTGCTAAAGCGTGTTTTAAAATAAATTTATCTATGTTAACAATTTATTTGTTTCTCATTTAATCGGATTTTTGTCACTAGAAATAAAATAATTTAAATTTGCCTAATAGTTAAATAAAAAATTATTAAATAATGCTATTAAATAAATAATCAAAAAATTTATTTAATATCTGTATCTCAAAGGTGTTCCAGTTTGCAGAAGTAGCAGCTGGTGAAAATTATAGTAATGTTTTGATAAATGGAGAAACTTTTTGAAAAAAATCACTCAAATAGGGGTTGCCGACCTCGCACATATACAGGGTATTCCTTAATGATATGCGAATATTTAAGGGTGTGATTCTACATGGAAAATTAATGATAGTTTATAAACTATAGTCCAAAAAAATTAAATTTTTGTACTCAAAAACAGTGCATCGCAGAACATAAACTCAAGAGAGTTCTTATCTTTCGAATTGAATGGGGATTTCAAAAATAATTATATTTGGAAAAAACCATTGGTGTACCATTTTTTTCTTTAAAAATATCAGTGAGTGTTTGTACGCACGCCACTGTTAGAGCTAAAAATTATGTTTATATTGAAAAACTTATCTTTATTAACTATCACTGTGTACTAAATATCACTGAAACATCTCAAGTGGTTTCCAAAATATTTATTAATTTCCTTTTTTTCCTAAAATTTTAACACCCCGTATTTTCGCAAAAGAACATTTTTGGACTAGTTTATAAAGC